TAAAATCTTAGAATAGATAAGTCGGTGTCTTGCCAGTTCAATATTATGGGACTGAGTAAAGGAACTTGCCTGTCCAATTATATGACCTTCCACAACAGTAATGACTACTACCACCACCACTGCTGCTGCTACCACAGCAGCGACAACCAGAACCAATACCACTACCGCTGCTGCTTATACCGCTACTACAAGTGCTACTTTTGATGTTGTAGTCAGAGCATTCGTATCGGCTACCCCCCTGCCGCCACATTTTTCTAGTATATTGTATTCTACACAAAACATTATTTAAATCGCCTGACCAACCTCATTAGACATTGGACAAGTCCATTATCGCTCAAATTACACTTTTAATATCTCCTTTCGCGTGTGGCGACTTGATAACACCATTCGGTTTACTATTCTTCTTTGGCTGCCTGTATAGTGCTCATGTCTGGAAACACCTCTATTTTGACTTAAAGTTCTGGTAGTATTATCAAGGTTGCCGATTCATTGTCATTTCCTGGATCATATTCTTGTCCTGTCTTCTTGAGAGCGTTGAGAACATCGGCCGGGTCCATTGCTTTTCTAGTGCATATCGCGACACTGTCAGCAAGCTAACCTGCTCGTTCATTTCCTCTTACTCCAGAGTGTCCTGGTACCCAAAAATGAAACACTCCTGTCAGACGTATTTCTTCAGAGACTTCAACTATTTCTTCGAATCCATCCTGTCTCGATCTTTTAAAACTTGAAGCATGTTCATCGATCGAATTAGTAAGAAAGTTAAAAGCCCGACTGGGAAAATGTGCGTCTGTAGCCAGTACATTGATGTTAATTACCGTCATTGCCGCTGTAGTTAGACTTTCTCGTCTAAGGAATGACCCCATTGTGCTCATGAGGGCTTTATGTGCAATTTATGGAACATGTCCTGCAAAACTGTCCCTTGTATAGTCCATTAAGAAGGAGAATACTAGCCCAGGGAGTCAACACCGTACTCATAGTTGTATGAAACAAAGAAACTCCACAGAACAGTTTTGTCAGACCAGCTCGACTGTCGGTGTAAATGAGAGAGCGATTACAACAAGAAGAGGAGGAAGAAGTAGACTACTTGTAATCCGGGCAAAAGCATCACCATTGTTATCCTGGCAAAAGCATCACCATTGTTATCCTGGCAAAAGCATCACCATTGTTATCCTGGCAAAAGCATCACTGTTGTAATCCGGGCAAAAGCATCACTGTTGTAATCCGGGCAAAAGCATCACTGTTGTAATCCGGGCAAAAGCATCACTATTGTAATCCGGACAAAAGCATCACAAAAGCACCACTATCCCCGACAGTTCTCTGTACAAGACGTAAGGTATGCCATTACTTAGGTACTATTGATTTCCGTAAGTAAAAAAAAAAACAAAAAAACACAAGTGTACCGATCAGGCGCATACTATCATAGACTTTACAACCGGCTCAACAGAAATTTACCAAAAGTCTCATAACGGGAAAGTAGCAGTAATATAGCGACTAGACGCTCGCCTGTCAGACTGAGATGTTTGGGTTCTAATCCGCATCGAGTCGGATTGTTTCCTTCTCAGTTGACCTAGGCTGCCAGTGAAGTCCGAGTGTTGAGTGGTCTCCTCTCGCTCTCTCTTTCTCTGACTCTCTCTCTCTCTGACTCTCTCTCTCTCTCTCTCTCTCTCTCTCTCTCTCTCTCTCTCTCTCTCTCTGAACAACAAAAAGAAATAATTCGATCGCGTTCAGGCCTTTTAGCTCCTCAGGGCTGTTGCTTATATTTGCGATCTTTATTGTGTAGGACTTGTTCAGTTGTGGTTTCGTTTGGTTCCAATAGGTCTTGTTGTCATCTGACGTTTTAATTGATGGTGATTCTTCCTTCTATAGTATTGTTTAAACACGTCAGTATTGGTGTCTAAGGATGTTGGGTTCTTCTGTTCTTTCTTATTATGTAGTTTAAGGTCTGATGTGCGTGATTCGCCTCAGGGTTTAAAAAAAAAAGATCCTCTACCTACCTGTCTTTTTTTTTTAAATACTGTTTGTAACAGAAGTTAGATCACATCTTGCAGTGTAATAGGAAAACCCGATTTACGTTTAATATCTTTTCATTACAGTTTCTAACCACACAGCCAGCTTCAGAAAAAAGTTGCAGCACTCAACTAAACCAACTCATAAATTCTGTATTTTGTGTAACAGTAAAAATATTGATCGTACGTTTTTGTTAAAGCTCCAGTGTCATTCAACAGCGTGTAGTAGTAATGCTAATGTACCTCAGCCTGAGTCTGGCTAGGTCATTAACACAAATAGGGCGTTTTGTGAACCGCATAACACCAGTTCATGATGCGCCATCTGGCGCATATATCAACGTAGATTTCAGTGAATCGAAAAACAGGAGGTAGGAGGGAGGGATACGGTGAAGCGAATACAGAAAAAAGGGTGTGGGGGAGGGAGGGAGGTAGTGAAGTGTGTGTTCTATGTGGAGGTGGGTGGAAACACACGTTAGGGGAACTAAAGGGGTGGAGAAGGTGGAAAAAAAAGGAGGGGGGGGGGGGCTCCGGTGATGTTACAGGGCTGAAGACTTGATGGGATTAAGTTCGTAGGTTGGAGTTCAGAGGTCAGTATTGTCTTAACACACGCGCACGCACACAGAAACTAGCAGAAAATAATTGTGTCACTATTTATCAGAAAGAAAAAAAAAAGCTTTCATTAAAAAACGTTATGAAATTACCACACTATATGCACATTCCATTAAAGAATGTAAAGTCGAGATGGTCGACTTCATTAGACCGGCTGTTTCCCTGGATGGCTCGGTTTCTCTCTGCAGAACAGTTATCCGCCTGCCAAGAGCGCCGTAGCACACAGCACGAATTTTGTGAAAGCAAGAGGCTGCCCTAAAAGGAGGTGGATTGATGACATAAAAGAGCTTCTACGTCGACCAGGAATGACAATAGCTATTGCTGCTCATCAGGCAGTGGATTGCAAACTGTTCCTCCCAACTGTTCTCTGCTTAACGGCAGAAGTGGAAATCGATGATGATAATGACTAGACAGTAATGATATAAATACGGCAAAAGCTCATTAAGAATTAAAAAGGACCGAAGAATCCAGAGTTTGTTTACAAACAAAAATTGTCCTAACCGGGGACTAATGGATTATGAATAATAGATGGATGATGGGGCCGCTTATGTTCATATTAATGAGGTTGACTGTAGATGGGGCTTTGCATTCTGAACATTTCAAGCGATGATTGTTTCTGTGGTGATTTTTTGCACATTTGATTGTAGAAGGGGACACAGCCAAATATTGTGTCTTTGTTGACACTTGTCAGAACAGTGTTTGTTGGCACATTTCATGTCAGTTTCAGGATCACCTTTTGTCATACTAATTTTGTAGCTCCAATGACGATCTCCATGGATCTCCGCAAAAACGGAACTAGTGAACTAGAGGGTGCCACCTCAAACGAATCACCAACTTTAAGAATGCGAAGGCCACGGCGGGGGAGGGACGAAGATATAAATCGGACAATTTGACCGTTTTGAGTTTCTGTACAAAATTTACAACTGTTCCTAGTAGAAAAACAGCTGTGCAAACGGGGTTTAAAAAGGAATGCGTTTGAAAGCTCTATTTCCGCATTCTTTGAACCTTGTGTAACTTATCTAAGTGTTCATGCTCATTACTTATGCAAAAACTTTCACAAATTGTATCTCGAATTATAGTTGACTTATAGATATCGTTTGAGTTCCACATTGTTCCGTTTCAAGAGGCCCGTACAACCAATTTCATGAGAAACAGCATAAGAGAACACAATTCATTGGTCCATTTATTGAGGGTATGCTTTATTGAGCCAATCAGCGCACACATCTCATACTCATCTTTCAAGGCCGTTTTCTCAAAATAACGTTTTCACACATGTGCGTTACTGTTGTCAGGATAATTTCAAAACATAATTAAATAACAATTAGAGGACATGCTCTTTAGAAGATTATGTTTGAAACATGCCAGATTTAAAGGCGCCACATTTGTGGTAAATAATTTACCTTAAATTGTGATTTTATGAAACCTTTGGAAAAATGTTGGACATCAATAAAAGAAAATCTGATTTAGGTACAGAGTTGACATTCGGTTCAGATGATACTTTAGCTGTATGTGAGCTGCTACACACATTTCTAGATGCACATGTTGCAGTTTTTAGCATGATTGATATCGCTACTGCAACCAGTGTAATCATTATCAAAATGGCCCTAACCCCCCCCCCCCCCTTCCCCCCCCCACCCCACCAACAGCCGGAGCCTAGGTCACACGAGAGACTCTTTTCGAAGAAAGCAGTACAACTTGACACCCCTCTGACCTAGATCAGACTGAGAAAGTGTGAAGATGGGCCGGGAAACGTCAACAGGTCCCTCTAACCATTAGCAAAAACTTGAGATAATCTGAGATTTTCCAGCCTGTTTCTGAAACCCACGGCTTGACCGCGGCGACAGAGATGCAGGTGGACAGTCAACACCAATTTTGTCAACATTTTTTAAAAAACTATTTTTCTGATTGTCGTGTGTTCTTCGTCGGCTCTGTGGCTAAGACGATGCGAACGCTTCGTAATGCCGGGATGCCGGGTTCGATCCCAGCTGCGGGCCATGCGCCTTGCGTTGGTTTCGACAGTGGTGTCAAGAAAGCCGACCGTCCAGGGGCAATGGCAAACTACTGGACGTATATTTGCCTAGAAAAACCACACAACAGCCAGGGGCTGTTGGTACTGCAGCGTCCTGTAAAGGATACGCAACTAACTAACTAACCATGTCTTCTTCTTCTTCTGCTCCTCTACCTCCCTCATCGTTATCTTCTTTTTCGTCGTCTTCATCTTCTTCTTCCTCCTCCTCTTCCTCTTCTTCTTCCTCTTCCTCCCGACTGTCTTCTCTTAACAAACATACTCGCACACTACATTATGCATAGTACAATGTGTATTTATGTAATATATGTGTATTGACTGAGAAACCTTTTTTAGACAACCCATGTGAACTGATATAGATCCTCTTATCCCCTCCACAGGGCAGAGCCTCGGGTACGGATTTGTAAACTACAAGCGCGCCGAGGATGCGGAGAAAGCAATCAACACCCTGAACGGGCTGAGACTGCAGAACAAAACCATTAAGGTAAGACAAACCTTTTATTTGGCTGCCATCATAATTTCCCATATATATCTATTTAGTTTCGGACATATCTTTAAAATATTTTATTTATTCCTACTTTAAATTGCAGATAAGCTTACATTCTCTAATGCGATGTAGATAACTATTATCATTAGTTTAATTATTTTAATTTGGTTCATGAAACAATCAATCCAAAACATGTATAATTTAGTTAAATACATGCGTTAAAGCGGTAGCCATGGGTTGTTTTCAGTGATTACTTTTGTGGCATACTTGTTTCCCCTATTCTACTTACAAACTAGTCTAATAACAAAATACCCGATCATGGAAGGTGTGAATTGTTATCTTTCGAATGCCACCTTGTCCTGGTGTTCAATTCAAGGCTGACCAAGTGATGGAAGGGTGTTATGCTAGGAGGTAAAGACAATGACAAACGGAGGTAGTGAAACATAACAGTGGAAAAGTCTCCAAGTCCAAAGTGTTTGCTAGAAGAATTGAATGGGAATGCTAGGGATGGGTTGCTTTACTGTTTCTACTACTCCTTATATTATGTTTGATTGTTTCAATTCATTTGTTTGGTCTTCTCAATGGGTACTATATGTCTTTTAGTACCATGGAGTCGTGGTAACTAGGAAACGGGGAAACGTGTATATTATTTGGTATTTCTTTTACTTGTCTTCTGAAAATTAGGTGTACTATACAGATTTTCCTTCTTGTTTTCTTGTAATTTAATAACACATTTGTTTAATTATTACATTCATTTCAGTTCCAGCGTCAGCGGGATTTGTTCACGTGGTTTATTTTAACCTGTGTTCTTATTTATTATTTGTCCATGCCCGCTTAGGAATACCATGGGCGATATCAAATCAAACGAGAAGTAGATCTAATCACCTTCACAGTTTAAAAATCGCAAATTACAGATGGACGTTGCGGCTAGAAACCTTCCATCAGCATATGACACAAATGGACAGTGATAGTGAAATGCAAGCACGTGAATATAACCACTAAAAGAGCAATGTTTAATTTGGTGGTATTCTTACCAGCATTATGCTGTCAGTGTCGAGTATAGACATTGTCTTCAGAAGATAGAAGAAAAATAGTCATGACAGAAATGAAATGTTTACGTTTCAGTGTAGACTGAACCAGGAAATCTGGTCTTAGGAACCATGATATTATGAGGAGAGTTAGCCCAGGACTAAACTATATCTGTAGACAGCAGATCAAATGGTTTGGCCATGTAACAAGACTGGCAGTAGACAGGGAACCACACAGAGCAATGTTACACAGATACAACGATCACGCAGAAGACAGACCGCGGATGTATAAAAGACACTGAGTTCAGTTGAGTCAAGAATTGACATCACATCACTTGGGGCATTCCCATGCGTGCTCCGTCTTTATCTTCAGCAGCCAGCGCAGAGTTCTAATACTGATGGTACCGGTCACAATCTGGTTATGTGTCCGTCTAAAAGACACTTAAAAGTACTATATAGAAGCGAACAGAAGTGCCTGTTCCAGATATCTCTTCCTGTCCTGACGCTGGGAATCATTCTAGGAGTATAGAAAAGAATAGGACAGTGATAAAATTGCAAACAAGAATACAGAAGTCGGTCATCTATAAACTGAGTTCTGTCCCAGAAATATCCAGGACACGTCTGGACAAATATAAAAGGGAACACTAAACAACATAAAAATTGCAACAACAAAAAAAAAAAAAAAAAATTAATAAAATAAATTAAGCTTACAAACCAGAATGCGACATTTCCAAATTTCATGTGCCAGAGTGTGTCAGATTTTGATATCATGTATAGGGAAAAAAGGAGGATATTTCTTCACCGTAGATCATTGAAAACTTAAATATCATTTCTAAGTGTGACACCAAAAGCTAATTAGAAGGAAAAAAAAAAAAAACACACACATAAACCTCGATATTTCGAAACAAGATCAGTTCTAACTGCATGGTATAGTAAATGCAGCCAGCAAAAGAATTAGGACCATATAAGGAGACGACTAACAAAATGCGCTTCAAAAGATCGTACAAAAGACAACAGGGACAACATGCTTAGGAAAAGATATTTGTTTTAAAAGCAAAACCTTGCAAGCTGTGTCATGCCCGTGTTGGAGTTATATGCAGAATTGTATTCATAACCAGTTGCCGCGGAACAAACAAGAGAGAAAACAGAAATTACTGATATTTCGTCCTCAGACCAATGTGACTTGAGTCAAGAGCTGACATCACAGCTTTCGGGGCATTCCCATGCATGCTGCGTCCTCATCTTCAGCAGCCAGGCAGGACCGAGGATCTAGGGATGGATAAGTTGGCAAACAGTGTTTGCTGTGTTAAATACAGTTGATAGTAAAATACAGAGAGGCAGTTCCATCTTGCTTATTTTGCAGAGGATCACACCAGATGAAGATATATATGGTATTCGGCACTGAATGATCTTTGCAGGGGCGTCTGAAAAGTCTACAGGACTATCTGCATTTCAACACTGAGATAAGCTTGGGTAGTCATAAATATCGTACTGTTAAAGAAAATATGCTTTTTAATGACAGAATATCATCTAATGTAGAGGATTAAAATATCCAAAAGAAATCAATATTACACGTCATCAGCCAAAACAAGCAGCAAAGAAAAGGTCCGACTTAAAACACAGGAATAGCTAATGATAGCTAATAGTGATAAAGAAGTGTATCTACATTTGGTCTTTAGACAGCCTCGACAGAAAACATAGTGGAAAATATGAAGACATTCCTACATGTCAAGCGGTGGCCATGGTATCGGCTAAGACGGACAGGGGCCGACCATCACGAAGATGAGCACATGACAGAGAGACATCCTAGGTAGAAAGTGTGCGAGGAGGAAGAGCTGCCGTGCCTTGAGTTTGTTCAAGAGGGGTCGTGACGAGAGCAACGTTCTGTAAAGCACCTTCTACATGATGATTTCTAAATTGCAGAAGCACAAATAAAAATAAATTGTTATTTGACACTACGGTTCTCCAAGAAAGATGTCAGCGAACACAGGAGTGGACATCCATATATATAATCCTATAAGACGATAAACACTATTTGTAGGTGAACACTAAATCTGAAAAGACTGCTGTAGTTAGGAAAATGTGTATTTGGACACGAGACGGCACTTATCTAATGAAAGCCAGTGTAGTTTGGAAAGACGCGATAACTCCAGTGAAAGTCAGTGCAGATGGGATTTTACATCTGTATTTTTTGTCAAGGCCAGAAAAGTCAAGCATAATTGGGAAACTACATCTGTGTATGGATACGAGCAAGCACTTCGCTAGAGCAGGCCACTGTAATTGAGAAAGTACATATCAGGATACCTGCAAGCACTTTGCGAGAGAAGGCCACTGTAATTGAGAAAGTACATATCAGGATACCTGCAAGCACTTTGCGAGAGACGGCCACTGTGATTTTGAAAATATACGTCTGTATTTTGATACGAGACTGCATTTCGCCATTTTTTGGGATGCTGGAAAGCATTTCAGTATGAAAGACAAACAAGACAACAGTCATCTGCTCGGGAGACTTAACATACACGCATACAAAAAATGTTGGAGCACTGCCATTTCATCCCTGTACAGTTAACAAGGCCTGCCAAAGCTCACTTACCTTCATTTTGCTTTAGAGGTCTCTTTGGTTTGTTTTCGTTTTGCATTTTTATAAAGTCTCTGTTGATTTTCAGGTATCTCTTGCACGCCCAAGCTCTGAGAGTATTAAAGGAGCTAACTTATATATTAGTGGCTTGCCCAAATCTATGACACAGTTGGACTTGGAGGCGCTATTCTCTCAGATTGGCAATATCATTACCTCAAGAATACTTTATGACCAAACCACAGGTACTTCTACGATTTACCGGGGTACATCGAAAAGACTTTGTGTCTGTTTTTGAGTTTACCAGATCACACACAGTAACAAATTGGCTTTGATAAATATACAACCGTGACACAAGCCTTGTTTACAAATATCAGGGTTACATATAAGTGTTCTAGTAAATGGATTTAAATTAATGTGAGACTTACATAAGGAGTTTTTTTTTTTAAACCAGAGTCGTATAATATTATGTCAGGAGCCTCCATGTTGATCCTGATAACATAAGCTATCCTGAGCTTTGGAAAGATTGTTATACTTTCCGTTGAATTGCGTTGTCTACAAGTAATAAGTAAGGATATTAGTTTTGGCAGGCAGAAGATTCAATTACATGATAATTGTTCTGCTAGTAGTAAGTGAAGTTACCGTGTGTGATTTGCTAAAGGAAACGGCAGTGTACCCAAGGGCCTTTCAGTTTACCCTCGCGGAGGCACACTCAGCTAAACTTGATGCATCAGTGTGTGGCCCTCGGAAACTTAACAGTGGAAATATTCAGTCATGATTTTCAGTGAGGCAAATGATACGGGACTGAGAAGCAAACTGTTGATTGGCCCCCAGCTTACCCCACATACAATTAATTCAAATCCTTTAGCTACCTTGAAAAAAAAAGTATCTTACAATTTCACTATACACCTCGGCATCGCTAAGCTATACATGCATGCTCTGTAACAAAGGTGTTCTTAATTTGCAACTTATATGGTTCGTTAACACTCCTTGTACATCGCTAGTTTAATAAGTTTCTGTTTTGCCTGAGTTACCCTCTTGATTTGTGTTTCCTCCTTTCTGTGTGTATTTGAACCATACATTCAGCAGAATTGCTTACTAATACCCTATCATTTGGCTGACTGGAATAAGTGTGTGTCTACAAGTATCCCCGGAAGAGCGCCAGTGCATCATCTCATTCCCGAACCAGAACACCCCACGTTTGGCTACCCCCCTCCACTCTCCGCAATACACAGGGTTAAACTTGAACTTGTACTAATTTTTCTAGGTATCATATGCAAGGCCCAGTAGCGAAAGTATAAAGGGCGCTAACTTGTATGTAAGTGGGCTGCCAAAGTCAATGGCTCAGAAGGATTTGGAGAGGTTGTTCTCACACTGCGGGAAGATTATAACATCGCGAATTCTTTATGATACGCATACAGGTCAGCTGTTCATAAGCGTCTGTTCTCATATAGCCATTTTACATTATTTTTCTTATTTATTTTGGTTTTCGCCTTCTGTTTCTTTACGCATGATGGTACATATTTGTTCCGTTGAAGCTAATTGGTTCATTTCATTTTCACTAATTATTTCTTTTACTGAGTTTATTATTGTTTGCTTCATTTATTTATTTCCTTCTTGAATTATACTTGCAAGTTTCTTGTTGTCTGGCATTTTTTTCTTTGTCCTTAAGTATCTAGAAAGTACCTTGTTTCGTTAGACACTGAACATATTTCGTAGGCTAAATATTACCACTTTCTAAAAGTGTAAGCCTGTGATTATGTAGGATTGAATGGGATTTCTAGAGTCTTGCAGTTCACGGTCGCTGGAATGCTTAATGAGCTTGATCAGTAGGTATCGTTATCACGTCATGTGGAGCTATTCGCCAGGCTTGTGTCCTCATTTGACTAGAACATAAATATCCCCCATGGCTCATAAAAAAAAGATAAGGATAGACAATCGTCGCTAGTGTCATTTTGTGATAAGAGAAATTATTTTCATAGCTGTCGTGTGCCATTAACTCTTTATTTCGGTCCCCGATGGTTTCAAACGCCTGTGAGACCTGGACACTTACTAAACAAGCGGAACAGCGCATAAATGCATTTGAATATAAATGTTACAGACAGGTTCTAAGAATATCTTGGGTAAAGAAAAGAACAAATGCATCCATACTTCAAGAGCTGAATATTGAAGAGGGTTGGCTAGTAAAGACAATAAAACAAAGAAAATTGAAATATTTTGGTCACTTGAAACGTCATGGAAGTCTAGAGAGAACAATAATGGAGGGGTATATGCCTGGGAAGAGAGGAAGAGGAAGGCCAAGGAGAAGATGGGTGCAGGATGTGGCAGATGATCTCCAGATGGGTGTATCAGACGCAGGACATCTTGCTCAGGATAGGAAGGTTTTCCGGAGGGTTGTTATGGCAGCGAGGTTCCGCGAGGGACATGCTACTGAATGAATGAATGATGGTTTCAAAGTAGAAACACAATTTTGGACACTAATCACAGGGAAAAAGGGCATCTGTTTATGGATTTCAAAGATACAGCATATACGGTGCTGCATTTGATACATTTGGCCCGAGATTATTTCCTTTTCACACCCAGGCGGAACATGAAATAAATAACAACACACATTTGTTGTGTTGATGCACATAGATAAATGGTAAGCACACATACTGCATTGCTTGGGGCATAAAGATTTAAAACCTGCTTTGCCAGAAAAGAAATGTCGTCACGTTTAAACCACCATCCCTGAAGCCGGGAGCTTTTGCTTATAATTTTGGCTAGGTTATGTGCGCCATATAAAATGACTACCGAGTAGCTCTGAAAAGAACGTTTGCAGTGTTGATGCAATCAAAGAAGAGAGACCCAAATAGTGTCCCTACCAGCGACGTATTCGTCTACCGGCCAGCCAGTTGGCGACCCGGTCGCCGGTGTGTTCAAACTGAATCCCACAAAAAACAACGGCATCTTGTAATTTTCTGTCAGGGATGACTGAGCGGAAGATGTGGGTTCCCATCAAAAACATTACAGACCGCTTGAGGCGATCTTAGGTGTGGCGAATTTATGTTGTGAAGAACAATTTGTGTATCCCTGGACATTCTTCTTTCTTGAACTTCTACCGTAGGTAAGAGGAATTTCTGGTTAGAAGAACTATTTCTTTTGCCCATAGGGAGTTCTCAACAGGTATGCCATATGTAGCAGTTCTCTCTCTCTCTCTCTCGCGAGACACTATAAGAGAGAGACTGAAACAAATCACTGCAGCCCGCTGGAAGAATGTACCGCTTGCAAGTTTTCCTTTGCTGTAGCAAGCTGGCTTTGTCATATATAGTGACCTAGTCTACTTCTGATGTGTTTATACATGTAATTCGGCTGCTGTTATGGCACATTCTAGTGTGTCCTTTCAAAAAAGCGTTATGCTGATAATATCAATAAAATCGACTTTAAGGTTTTTACAACTTTTGGTCTCATCTGACGTCACCAGGGTTTGACATTTACCGGTCAGACAAATTGGCACCCTTAATGAACACGTGTGCAACCTTTGCAAACCGCTGAAATGAGAAGTCATTCATTAATCGGTTTGGCGTATAAATGTAACAGTTTAACCCTCATTACTGCCCATGTCTGTTAGGTTTCGGTGAAATGAGTAAGTAGCACGTTGACTGTTTCAGTGAAATCGCATAAGGTCGGATGATGGATGAAATTCACAGTATCATAACTCAACACACCAGTAGCAACGAATGCCTGTTAACAACAATAAAAAGAGACGCACACTACAATGATGTGGACACGTAGTAAAACTAACTGGCCTTGCCAAAACTATACTCTCTATACCCGGTACAAAGTAAGATGAGACGAGGCAGACCAAACTTCCCTGCAGACCGCGCCCAAGGCGTTCTCGGATGTGGCGAATTTCTGTTGTGAAGAACAATTTGTTTATCTCTGCCAATTTTTCTTGCTTGAATTCCTATCTTTACAAGAGGAATTCCCGATAAGGAGAACAGTTTCGTGTGTCTCCGGTGAGTCCTCCGTTTAGCGGTTCAGTACTGTCCTTGCATCCAAAACGAGGCAGACTGGGCGGAATTTTCACACGAAAACATTCAGTCCCGAGCACTTGATCGCCATAAGATATGATTAGCCGCTTAACTGTTGCTCTGTTATCCAACGACACACACTGGTATGTGAATATGTATAGATACCATGGGCAGAAAAGCAGCAGACTGACAGCACTGGGGATCACTTGTGGATGCCTTATATGTCCACAGCCACATGTAGAGGCCAGCAAGCTTTTACCTTCACCGAAGAGTAGTAGTAGTAGTAGTAGTAGTAGTAGTACATTTTACCCCCCTAGGACATTTGACTAGAACATAAATATCCCCCGTGGCGACAAACACCCCATGACACAAAGTGCCACCATGTGGATGAGGATCATCTGTGGAGAAGTCCCAGAAACCACGTTCAGCCATTGGGCCATATTTATGGCCGGGCTATATTGCGGCCAGGGCTGCCAGTGGGATTTTCATTGAAAAACCCAGCTTAGCTGAACAAAAAACCAAGCAATACATAGACAATGTGCATTTACGAAACGAAACATTTACCACTTTTATATAAAGAGAGATATATATATATAAAAAACCAGATTTCCCCCAGGCGTCAAATAAAAACCCAGATCTGGGGGGGGGGGGGGGGGACCCAGCATTGGTAGCCCTGATTGCGGCCCCTGGCTAGAGCCAGGGTGGGGCTTCAAAATAACGAAATATTACATCCCACGAGGTGATTACTGGGCATATAACCGAAGATTATGCTTTCTTGCAGTATCTAGTGCTACTGCATGTCATCAGCAATGTGTCTCGTGAACAGTTCCAACATGATCTTCTAGCCTAAAGAAATAAATAACTGGGGGCCCCTACGTCCAATACAAACCGTATGATAAACAAATTAGCATGTATTGATTGTCATTCGTAGAAAGAAGTAGGGGGGTTGAGTGGTCTAGAGGCATGGCATCCACCTCGAGTGCCGGAGGTCCCGGGCTCAGGCTCCGGGAAAGGCTGGGATTTTTGTCATGTGAACTTCTAGTAATTTCCCATGGGTTGTAAGACCAAACGCCCGTGTGTATTGTTGCGCACGTAAAAAAACAAACCCATCGGCAGTTGGAAATCGTTAAAAAGAAGGTAACAATCAACCCAAAGTATTTCATAATCCTCGCCAGTGCCCTGATGTTGAACCGTTGTATAAACCATAAACCAGAAAGAAGTATAGATGCGAGGAATCATCAAACAGTAGGCTTTTTCCCGTATAGGTCTGCAGTTTACACCTGCCTGGTGTGGCCGTTACGAGTGCACTAATTATAACTCTTTAGGAAGTTGAACGGGGTATCTGCTATCTGTCTTGTTGGTCTGCCATCCAGGTAGAAATTATTTAAACCCCGGCTTGTATGGTAAACCTTTCAGAGGTACCAACCCATCGGGCGATCAATTAGACCAGCAGTTCTCAGCCTGTGGATCTCGACCTCTTTGGGAGGTCGAACAACCCTTTCACAGCGGTCGCCTGACCATCGGAAACAACAACACATAAACGCTGAAGTTATGAATAGAAAGGAAAATAATGTTATGGTCGGGGGCCACCACAACATGAGTAACTGTATGAAAGGGTGGCGGCATTAGGAATGTTGAGAATCACTGGATTCGACAATATAAACATCGAAAGCTTTAGTTACCTTACAAGGACACTTGTCTCTAGCAATTGGTTTTCTGCCTGGGAAATCTCTGGCGTTCTGGTGCGAGGGATTGTATTTAAAAATAATCACACGTATGTTGAATTGGGATACAAGATTATAAGTGAGCGTTTTCTAACCACAGAGGTCCCAGTGAAATATTAACCGTGTCTTGAAGTTTTCTTTTGTTATATTCTCAAGTAGGAGAGAGAGAGAGAGAGAGAGAGAGAGAGAGAGAGAGAGAGAGAGAGAGAGAGAGAGAGAGAGAGAGAGAGAGAGAGAACAGTTTATTTTCGCTAGCTTTCTTGAGTTCACACATTTGGTCTTTAGTTCTTCGGTTTCGTGTTGTAGACATTCCCTCAGTTTTGATACAGTTGATGTTGTTGCTCTGTTGTAGATCATTTCTAAAACCTTTTTTTATTTTAATATCATTTCTTGATTTCGTTTTTCGCTTTTTAAAGTTTATTCCTTCAGTAAATCTAATCTTTTACTGCATTTGACTCTTTTACTTCCAATTTTTTGTCATTTCATTTTGTTCTCATGTTTATGTTTTCTTGTTTTATTAAACCACTGGAATTGAAAAAAAAAAAAAAAAAAAAAAAATGTGAAATGGCATTTTCATTATGTACAAAAAACAACAATGAAACCGAAAAGAAGGCAACATAATTGCCAATAAGTGACTGGGCCTTGTTATGATATCTGGACCATGTGTAGCAGCAGCACAGCATTTCAACAGCCTAGTTAAACTGTATTTAGTGTAAACCTGACATTATTTCTTCTCCCTGTTCCTGCAATTTTCTTTTTAGTCAGCCTAGATTTTTTCCACCGAGTGCTTTGTACATGATGGAAATGCATGCGATTGAAGTATTTACGTAATCTTTGACTATATTTTACTTTGATATATTGTTTAGAATTTTTCTTGTTTGCTTTCAAAACTTGGTAACTTTACATTTCTTTATTTTATTTTGTGTGTGTTTTTAAATAGTATTATATATTTATTTTATTTATTTTTAATTTGTCATAGGTGTTAACTCTTTCAGTTCCAGTTTTTTTTTTTTTTACTTAAACACTGCAAATTTTAAAGTTGTTGTACCTTAGAGAAACAATGTTTAAGTCTTATGGAATTTAAAAAATATAAAGCTTCGGGAAAGGAGTTGTATAGTCTGTTCCAAAAGTTGTGCACTAAAACTGAAACAAATATTTGGCAAACTACTGTACAGATCAACACGAATTTTTGCATGCTGGCTTAGATTTTCCATGTGCTTTTAATTTCGTCATATACAGTAGCACAGGAGCTGCTGTTGTCTTACAGCGGCGACTTTCAGTGATTTTTGTCGGACTAATAATTTGTATAAAATCCCCCACTTCCCTCCTCCAAGAAAAAGATACAGTATTTGACATAGATCATTTACTTTTACGAGCTAGTCAGCAAGCAGCATTATGACAGTATATGACGGATGCACTTCACTATTCATAATGAGCATGTCTCAGTTTTTCTCACGCATTATCTCCAGAACGCGGGAAATTTGATGTTTTCCCAAGTTCGCGTCAATCCATTTACTGCAAACATGCTTATTGTATATGCTTTAAATCAGTGTCTGTATTTTCATATACCACAAATAAGACACACAAAAACTTGAAAGTTTGTTTAGATTATAATTTTTTTTTTCCTACAAGGACATGATTAATAACAGGTTGCACACCATATTTCAAACATTTACAGAGAACAGACACAGAGTTACACATTTTCAAACTCGGACACGACTTTTAGAATAGACTATAGTAACTTATGAGATATAACTGGTTAATATAGCAGAAGAATGGGACAGAGAGTAAAGAAATTAGTACATTGGAAAGAATAACCAAAGAATTTACTCTAACTTCCCTGGTACTGAAAGTGTTTAGTGATTCAATTTAAGTACGAGAGTTACACAGAAATGACCATATTACCTGTAGCTTGCTAATTCTTCACAGTGTGTGAAATCTAAACCATCTTTTTCATACCAGTGCAGCATCAGAAATATGATGATAGGTACATATTTTTAGACTAATCTGCACTCGGTGGAATCACAGCGGCCGCCTATACTTCACATGCCAATACCTGGTACTCATTTAAGATTAGGTGCACCTTGGATCAATGGTCAATATATATATATATATATGCACACAATCACAGGTAACGTTGTGGGAATGAACCCAAGACATATTCTCATGTGGGCTTTAGGAGTCTAATTATTGGTTGTTGAAACAATAGACCCCACTGCCCACTTATCAAACATGTTGTAAAAGCCGAATCATTGTGGGGGTATTTTCTTCGAAATCGGAGGGCATCTGCGTGAGAATCAACAATCTGCGTACAAAAGCCAGATCTGTAAAACGGATGTGCACTTAAAACTCAAATTCTGGAATAAGACTAAAGTCCAGAAGTGTGCGAACAATCAGAGTTTTCCATAGTTATATACAGCCGGTGAACGCAAAAAAGAACTAAAAAGGCTTCTTTAAAGTAGATAGGTTTGTTTATGTTTAAATTACTTTCAAAACTTGTTTTGTTATATTAGAATCTCAGTTATTAGCCCTACTGGTATGTTTTCTTGTTGGTTTAGAACTGTCATGTCTATTACCTAGTATGAGACTTACTTGGTAATGCATGCTCCACAGGGCTATCCAAAGGAGTTGGATTTATTCGGTTTGACCAGAGATGTGAAGCGGAGCGGGCCATTCAGAAGTTGAACAATCACATACCCGATGGCTGTTTGGACCCCATCACAGTGAAATTTGCCAACTCGCCCAGTTCCAACAAAAACCTGGCTGGCATAGCCCCCTTAGCCCTGGCAACCTATTTGTCGCCCACTCATCGCCGGTTCTTCGGACCCATTCATCACGCCACAGCCTCGGGGAGATTCAGGTGTGCATGTGTGTCTCTTGTTTAGTAGAGTTTGCCCGATCTACTGTCATATGTTGGGGGCAGGTGTAGTTTGGGTCATCTAATATGTGGGCAGACTGAAGCACAGACAGACAGATGGCTAATATATGCAAAGGCGGGTGGATAGTCATAAGGATGGATACATAGACAGAAAAACCGATTGAAAACACTGAAACATTTGGATGAGCAGGCAGAGTAAAGGAGACCGATGCGTACACTACTATAAGATGGATGAATGGATAGACACACATACTTATGAATAGATAGGTGAAAAGGGATACAAGATGAAAGACAGTTATATGGGTGTATAAACTGATAAATTGAAGAATTGACAGATAGGCAAATAGGCGTTTGGATAGACAGACTTACGTATGGTTAAGTGACGGATAGACAGGCATATAAATTTACAGACAGACCATGGGTATATGAAAAACCAAACCGTAGATTAACTCCATATAAAGATTGATAGAAATGTATGGTTGTGGGTGAGTAGATGCACATTGATGGGGAATCATAAAACTTTCTCCAGACAGAAAAGAAGTTGCATTTTGAAAATATACTAACTAGAAAGGCAGACTATGACATTTGACACAAGATCAAGAAAATGTTAGAAGAATGTAACTTTTTTTTTGAAAAGGCATTTGTGTTGTCGAGACCTGGAGGATAATACTTTAGCTTTGGCCCAGTTAACACGTTTTTCAGCTAACGAAGTATATTAACTTGGCTAGCGAATTTGGATGCTGTTAATGAATGTTATAGTGGATACGCGTGAACATAAAGTAGCTGTATTGTGAGCTGAAGTTTCGCACCATCTATCATAAATCTCATGTTGGTTAACCAGTCTAATTTTGGATCGAATTATCTTCGTTAGCTGTGGTATCACTTTAAAGAATTCGTTGGCCGAATTTTGTGGAACCATGCTTTGGCCACCAGATATTAAAGACCTTGAAAAGCGCTGACGTCTGTCACAGTGAGGTTGCTGTTGAAACTGTTCTCTTATACCAAAGTACTGTCCTTGCACTGAACCAGACGAATAATCATCATCAGTTTCCACTGTTGCCGTTAAGCGTCGTGGGCAGGAACAGTTTGCGATCCAATACTTCATGGGCAGCATTGGCTATTGTCATTCTGTGTCGATGTAGAAACACGTTATCATCAATCCATACTCTCCTTGGGCGACCTCTTGCTTTCACTTCAGATCTTTTCTTGTGTAGCGCCTGTCTTGGTAGTTGTTCTGACTACATTCTAACTAAGTGACCAAACCATTTTGATCTTTTGTTTCTCAATAAAGGTGCTGAATGGTGTTGTTTTTACAGTCTGTCTGATAATATCATTTCTACCAATTCGGAACCAGGGTGAGGTAATACAGGCAGACCTGTTAACACATCACCATCATCATTATCATCGTCATGATCACCGTGTCCTTTACAGAACATAGCTCACATAATGACGTTTCTGAAAGTCTCTGTCCCTAATAAATTCTTCAACCATTTGTGATTTCATAGCCAATGCACTTTCAATGTCTCGAATGGGTACCTACCATTACTGTTCTATCCAGACCACCTTGACGCTTACACGGCTGAAATACCTCGGCCTTCGGGATAGGATGCTCTTTGTGAGCCAGTTTGCCTGCATGCTCAGATCATGTAGGATGTCGGTGTTTTTCTTCTTCTTCTTCTTATTCTTGGTCGAAGGTATTCGTCAGTATGTTTGTTTGTCCCTCTCTTTCGATAAGCGGTAAGTCACCGTTCAGTTGATTAATGCCTCGATGCTGACGTTTCCGGGTCACCCCTCTTTTCAGCACAGCTACAAATGTAGCACCGTCCCATGGAGGCCAGATTGAAGCTTCATATATATATATATATATATATATATATATATATATATATATATATATATATATATATATATATATATATATACACACACACACACACGCACACCACAGGCACACACCACACGCACCACGCACACCCCACACACCACGCACACAAGCGACTGCACTTTATATAAGGCAGTACATTTTGTGGGGACTTTGTCGATTTTAAATGGAGTGATACAAATAATTGTACACACGTTGACGTAGATATTTGTAAATTGTCATATTCAGGTACTCACCTTTGGAAGCTGGACTGCTGCCCAGTACCATATTGCCTACCACACTCAGCTCAGCGGCAGCATCAGCAGCAGCGGCAGCCGCAGCAGCAGCAGCAACAAGTAGCAACACCTCCACCACAGCCCTCAACGCCACCGGCTGGTGCATATTCGTCTACAACCTGGCCCCCGACACGGAAGACAGTGTCTTGTGGCAGCTCTTCGGGCCCTTTGGGGCCGTTCAGAGCGTCAAAGTCATTCGGGATTTTACCACCCAGAAATGCAAAGGCTTCGGCTTCGTCACAATGACCAACTACGAAGAAGCTGTGATGGCAATACAGAATCTGAATGGATTTACGCTGGGCAACAGAGTTCTGCAAGTTTCATTCAAAGCCAATGGAAGGAAGGCATAGAATCCCACAGTCAGCCAGATCTACTCAAAAAACATCATCTCACAGAAAAAAACAAAAACAAAGACGAATTCCCTCAGCAGCGGGGATTAACACATGTTAGTAACTCTGAACAAACTCCTACCATCGTACTAATCACCGGATGATTCTGCACACGGAGACGTGGTAGAAAAAAGTATCATTAGAATCCACTAATAGGTCATTTACTCAGGAGGATGTCTGCATTCAGTGATGTCTGAAGTAAGTCTGGACTGTGTAGTTTTATGGAAACAGTCCCGACTTTTTTTTTGTGGGTCTTTATGCGGTTGTGTTTTGAGAATTTTGCGACAGCTACCTAAATGGTAGGCATTTAGAAGATGGTTCGATTTCCTTTGAAGACAGACACTCATAATGTGGTTTACAGGTAGCGTTAGGTTTTGAGAAGGAGTGTCATAACTGAATTACGTTTGTTCTGTGTAGTTTTACGGAAACAGTACAGTCTGCATAGTCTACTGTTGTTTTAATTAACTCTTTCAAGTTTCTTCTGTTGTTACTTAGAATGTTCTCAAAACGAGAGAATTTAAAATATATTTTTGAATAAAAGTCTTAGTTTCTGAATGAGGTAAACTAATGTAACTATAAGAGTTGAGAATTTAACCTGATAAACCTGAAAGGAATCAGCGTATCAAAAGATGATACAGAAAAAGTTGTTGAAATATGAATCATTTACAGTGTAACCAACGCCTATATTGTGAAATGCGAGGTGCTGAAAGAGGAGTGACAAGAATAAAACACTAAAGTCAGTTTTACATCATCTCTTTAGAGAACATCGTAAACTTATTAACAGCCCAGCCGGGTAAATGGATAGCTAGTCTGATGGCTGGTTTGGTTTTCTTTCAAGACAATCGCAGGTAATCCAGTGCACAAGTGATGATTGATTGTAACACAAGAGATATCATATCACCTAACATATAGAGATCTCTTACAGCTAGTTGGTGATATCTGTGTTGACACTCAGTGTTTTTGTCACAGACATACTAATTTATTACTTATTTATTGACATGAACTGATACCTTGAATATTTCCGCCCCAGGGGTTGACTTGAAACAATCTAACTGTCTGTGTGAAGACCACTTTACTTAGACCTGTGCTTTGATAATACAGGAGTATAGTTGTTTTAAAAAGATATTCAGTATTTTTTTATTTTTTTTTACTTCCTGCAACCTGATCTCTTTAACACTTAAAGACACACATTTTATAGGTCCTCCGTCCGCAGGGTATTGTTGTGTAACCTACACGGTTCAGTGGGAATATCTCGGATTCCTTTCGGGTTTATTGGCATCAGAATAGTGGCTTATTGAGTCCCTGGGTGTCAGATCTACGAGATGCAATCCTTAAGAGAAAAGTCCATCCCCAATGTGTCCATCAGACGGCTTGTTTATTCTATTTCAGGTTATGCGCCCCACCTCCAGCAATTAAAATTTAATAGGTTTTAGAGAGGTCATTTTTTTCTGAACATGGGAATATAGTTAACTCTTTCAGTCCCACAAGGTTTCACAGAAGATATCTCAAGGGGACGGTGTCCCCAGTGAAGAGAACATGAGTGCATAACTGTAACGGAGGCAGCACTTACACACCTTGCATGAAACATAGACCAAGTTGCATTTTGAAATATCTGACAGATGTCAGTAGTACTCTTCGTATTAGACCGAGCTGCGTTGCCTGGTTCATTTGGACAATGACAATATCACCTACAGTGCCTTGTTTTGGGACCAAAAGAGTTAATTATACTTTATGGAAAGTGAAAATTGCTAAACTTTTTACAAGCTGGAAATACTGAATGTCTTTTTGAAAACACTTGTTTCGTTTTAAAAATACACTGATGGGACGCCCCACCCCCCGGGCCACACTTTGAAGCAGGTGCGTATGTTGTGCAGCACTATGTTTTTAACTGAATAATAGGTTTGTCATAGGTCGATTAAACATAAGTCACTTTTACATCCCTTTAAAACGTTTCCTTGTATGTTAGGTTTGGTTAACTTGGAGGCCTAGGTCACTAAGTACACCTCTCCTAACAGTAGAAATTCTGAAGCATGACTTTGGGACTGACAGAAGAGCCTGAAAGTCTGTCGCTACGTTCAATTTCCCTTCTGCTGGAAAAAAAAAAAAAAAAGTTCCAGCGGCTTCTTTGTTTTTATAGTTCCCCTGATTCGGGATGAAAGTCACAAGTTGATCGGTGAATGATGTCGTCAGTGCTTTTGATCGTCATAGCATCTTATGACAATTCTTGGCTGTTAAGTTTATGATGTTGTCATGTGACCAAAAGTCCGCCCGACAAAGACCGGTTATTTGAATAAAGTCGGCAAGACAAGGAGGCATTTTTTTTCTGAAAAGGCTGTGGGTACTGGTGATTCATTGGCTTTACTTAGGAAAAAAACATCTGAGACACTTCTTACAGTGATTCTCAGAACTTTCTGCGTAGGCCACAGATGCCGAGTCAGGATGTACATTTGTAAACTTTTGCCACACTGTCAGGACATATTGTTACAGTTTATTTATAACATATATAACGTTTTAATTTCTGGCTTTTAAACACCCGATTTAAGTTGAATGCCACACTTTACGATTTATTATTGTCTGCAATTGGTATAATTTGTGTTTTTTGGGTTACATCTCTGGCTTTGTTTCTCGTTTGTAGTTCAGTTATCTGATATTTATTACAGCATAATAATCATTGTAATGTTTGGGTGTATGTATATTTCCATGCTTTACCTGCGTTTCGGGGCAGTCAACTTTTACTTGATGTTTTTTATCAATTTTCTCCCACTTTTTTTTTGACTCTTCTGTTTTTTTTTTTGTTTTTTTTTTTTTTGTATTTTTTTTTCTCCATTTTTGCTTTCTGTTTCTTTTATAGTTTTGTATTTTTGTCTCTCATTGGTTGTTTCAGAAGAGATATCGTTCTGTTGAATTGGTTTAATCAATTAAACATTTTCTTATGTTCACATCCTGAGTTGTGTCTTTGTTGTAGCATGTCATTTTTTTTTTTCTGTTTGGTTGACTTTATGTTGATTTCTCTGATTGATTGTGATAGAGCATTACTCGGTGGACGGACCATAGTATACTTTACACAGGTACAGAAGGTGTATATTTTTATTTTATATCCTTGCCTACCTCGCAGTAAATTTAGTTACCTATGTGGATATGTGATCTAGAGGTCAGTGAAGGCGTTAAACAGATTCTTGCACCTTTAGTACTAGGGTTAGATTTCCATGGGTGTAAGTGATAGCAACAAGCAGTTTCAGGCTGGCACCAAGGAATAAATTATGGCCTAACATTTAATAGAAGAATAGTAATAATGCCGTAGACAGTAGACGAAAGAGAGAGGATGGGAGTTGGGAGAAGGAGGTGGGGACAAGAAGAGACATTCTGTATTGTGTCATTCTGGTATGGAAGATCTTATATCAGAGATGACTGGGAAGCATTATTATGTGTGGTGAAGTAGTCAGATCGTTTGCCTCGCGCTCTAAAGGTCATGGGTTCGTTCCATGGCTGCTCCCTTCAGTTCACGAGTGCAATTTTTACGGGGATCTTCGCCGGAGCTCGGGAGTTCCTGCTCCACGCAGCGATCTCGGCAGGCGGCTAACTGTTCTGCAGAGAGGGGCCGAGTCATATGGGATCAAACCCAGTGCAATGCAGTCGACCCTGTCCACTTTAACCTTCACCTTTAGATAAAGCACCAGGCCAGTGTCCGAAAAGAAAGGAAGTCACAAAGAGAAATGGTTACCTACTTCAGAGTCTGGCAGTCAGCCCACTTCGGCCAATTCGGGGAGAAAACAGAGGGAGGATGGGATGAAGGAGGCAGGAGGATGGTGGGGAGAAAATGGTCGTAGAGGAAGAGACACGAGAGAAGAAGGTTTAGGAGAAGCAGATGGAGACAGAATGAGACTTTCAGTATTATGGCATTCTGGCTTAAAAGATCTTCTTTGCGTTTACCAGCTGTAAACTCTGGCGGAAAGTTCTGGTTGATCATCCACTTCTGGACTGCCGTCCTGTTACAGATCCTGAGTGTTGCGTGTGCATCCGTTTTACAGATCTGACTCATTTGTATGCAGACTGTTGGTTTATTGCCTCTCAGGCAGATGCACTCCAACTTTGAAGGAAGCTCCTAATTAGTCGTCTTTTACGACATGCTTTTAGGTAAGCAAAGAAGCAGGTGGAGACAAAATGAGACTTCCAGTAATTTGACATTGTGGCATGGAAGATTTCATATCAGCGATGAGTGTCAGTGGGCGCGAGAGAGTGAGAGAGAGAGAGAGAGAGAGAGAGAGAGAGAGAGAGAGAGTGAGTTGGGAGAAGCAGGTGGAGACACAAGGAGACGTTCAGTAAATCAACATTCTGGCATAGATCTTGTATCAGAGATGAGTGTCAGTGGGTGAGAGGGAGAGAGACAGGGAGTTGGGAGAGGGAGAACCAGGTGGAGATAAAAAGAGACGTTCAGTAATTCAACAATCTGGTATAGATCTTATATCAGAGATAAGTGTCAGTGGGCGGGAGAGAGAGAAAGAGAGAGAGAGAGAGAGACAGGGATTTGGGAGAAGCAGGTGGAGATAAAATGAGACGTTCAATAATTCAACTACCTTGCAGAGATCTTATATCAGAGATGAGTGTCAGTAGGCGAGAGGGAGAGAGACAGGGAGTTGGGAGAGGGAGAACCAGGTGGAGATAAAAAGAGACGTACAGTAATTTGACATTCTGGCATAGAAGGTCTTATATCAGAGATAAGTGTCGGAAGGCGAGTCAGAAGGATGTGAATAAATAATATGACTATTGCCGCAAGGTATTGAAGGTAAGAAAAGAATAAAACAGAAAGGAGGAGAACTTTGTGGGAAGATACCCCCCCCCCCCCCCCCCCCCCCCCAACACAACCCCAAAAATGATGCAGAAAAGAGTGATGGTAAAAAAATTTTCAGCTTCTTCTTCTTCTTCTTCCCTTCATCGAAGTGTCCGGGGAGGGAGGGGGATGT